AGACTGCAAGCCATAGGGATGATTTTATACAAGTCTATCTTGTTACATGAACAAGTGTTTATAATAAGTAAATATATTAGGAAATATAAACAAATTTAGAAAGCATTATCAGTGCTATATCTGGGAGGTAGGATTATGGGTAACAGATGGTTTCTTTTTTGATTTTCTGTTTTCTTTTTCTTGATTTTTTTTTTCTGTTTGCTTATTAGCATTTCCTAAAGTTTCCATCATCAAAGCATGTTTATTTTGTCATCAGGATATACAATGAAAGTCATTTAAGAAATAATGCTCAGTCCCTTTTTCACATTGATACAAATACTCAAGGTTGAAGTTCATGGCTCTCATCTATCTTTACTTCTAGCTGACACTTTTTTCTTACCTTCCAGAAAAACAGGCATAATTTTTCATCTCTCCCATGTAGCACCTCTTACCAGAAACACCTTGCTCCAAATACCCACGACCCTCATTTTTAAAAACTAGAATGGAGCATTGACATATTTGTGCGTTATATTTCCTCTGTTAACTGTATTTCTGCCTATGAAGTATACCACTGTAACCCTGGAAAGATGTATACAAGAGTTCCGTTTCTTTTTTCATCTAGTGTCCATCTATTCATAAAGTACAGACACATATTTCTTTTTGGCCATGTAAGTAGGGAAAGGAGGATATAGAATGCTGTGAGAAAAACAGATAGTTCCAGAATAGATAGGGATCATAAAGGATATGAAGCTCTGGGTAACTCAATTAGAATTAGATGCAAATGAGGTATAATGATGTCAATAGCAAATGAGAACAGATATCCATCTCCAAAATTTGATCTATATGGGGGCAAAAAGGGGAGGTGAGGGGAGGGTCGAGTAGGAAAAGAAGAAGTGGAAGAAATCAGGACAAAATGGGAGGTGGGAAGAGTGGAGTGAAGGCTGGGGCTGTGTCTTCATATTCCATATCAGCCAGATGTCCTCTGTGTTATGTTACTGGGTCTTGGGTTGCTGTTAAGTATCCTGGATAAGGCTGCCAAAGCAGGAGTGAAATGAGGATTGTCCTCAGGACACTGGTTTCATCTGGTGCCTTCAGAAGGCAACCTTGGGATGGTTAGAAATAATAGTAGTCTTTTCAGTTGGATTTGCTTTTTGCTAGAGCTGCAGGGCTAGTATCAATGTACTACTTAGCTCATGGTTATTGACCAAAGTTCAGCTCTCAGAAGGGTCTGTTTGGAGTCTTCCCTGAGGTAGGAGCTTGAGATGCTTGGGTAAAAGAGAACAGTGACCTACTCTTTCATGAAGGTCTATTAGGTGCTAGTCAAAATGCAGGGCTTTTCTCCCCCCTACACATTAACTTACTGAACATTCCAAAAACTGGTGAAGTATATATGACTGTTGCTTTTTCACTAAAGAGGAAACTGAGACTCACAAAGTTTATATGACTCAAGTATATGCCCCAGATTTATCATAAGCGATGATTAGGATTTAAACCCAAGGTCACCAAAAGCCCACACAACTGGTTCCACCACATCAGATACTAGTAAACAAATAAAGAGCCAGGAAACTTAGGTGGAGTGAGATAAATTCTCTGGACATGAATCTCTTGTGTTAAAAATGATGACCAAATTTGCATGATTCCTAGTCTCTTCCAGTTCTATAATTCTCCAACTTTGCTCAGGCCACCATAGGTCACCTTTAAGAAAAGCACAGATGTGAACCCCTGATGTGCTTCTGATCGGTCTTTCTGAAGAAGCAGTTGTATAACCAGCTGTTTCTGAATTCCCTGCTCTCTTCTAAGCCATGCAGTGACATCTGTGAGGGGCTCTGGAATTCTGTGGGTACCCTAGACTCAGGCACCTGTGGCCTCATCTCACTATCCATGGTTTCACTACCCCCTGCTTCACCATCTTCCCACAGATGAGGTCAGTGGGGTCCTGATTAGTACTATTTTAAATGGAGGTCCCTACTACACAGAAGCAGTTTTCCAGTCCTTCTTATATGTAGGGATTCATTTCTAAAAGCATTTGGTGGCAGTAAATAAGTCAGCAAGAAAATAAGCCAGCAAAGATTTGATCCAAATGACCACAAGCACACAAATGACTTATCTGCAATTTCTAAAGGCTGGCCAGAATTTAAAGCATATATTATGATATAGTAGAATATTTGATTTAAAAATATTAAAAGATATGCCCATGCTATGAAGACAGCGTAATAATTTAAATATGCAAGCATTTCCCTTTAAGCATGATTAACAGTGATATGATTTCCATCCAATGTCTATTTCCAACTGTGAATTGGAGTTTTAAAATCATCTTGTTTTCTGAGTAATCATTCCGATAATAATTAAGACTAGACATTTATTAAGATATAATGCATACTGCTTTTAACTGAAAATTTTAAATTCAATTTACCTGAGAGAAATATCATAAAAGACCTCAATATGGTGATCAC